CACACACACACACACACACACACACACACACACACACACACACACAAACACACACACACAAACACACACACACACTTGTGTGTCGCAACACACACACATGCTCAGACATGCTCACTCACTCTTCTCTTCCTCTCTTGGCCTCATGCTATTAGTCGCTCCATCTCCTCTTTTCTCTTTGGCTCTCACACTCCCCCACATACACCCACATACACAGAAACAAACAAAATGGTACAAAGACAAGGAACATACCCCACAGCCGTGAGTCCAAGAAACTGATTGGATAGATGGTAAAGAGTTAGGTACTTACACACATCAGGTATCATTTGTTGATGCTCAGAAGGTTCAGCATTCGTAACAAACTTTAACAAAGCTTTTGTTTTAACCTATTAAAAATAATAATAACAATAATAATAAAACATCCGTTTTAACATTATCAAACACGGCTTGCCCATGCTATGTAATTGGCAGTGGAGGTGGTGACCTATGTGACAGAGATGACACAGATGACTTCAGCTCATAGATAAAAGGCAGAAAGGGCTAGAGAGGGGTTCTGGGTAGAATGGGCTTTGGAGAGGGGGGGGGGGGGGGGGGGGGGGGGGGGGGGGGGGGGGGAGAGCGGGGGTTAGAAAGTAAAGGTCATTTGCATTAGGTTGAAGCAAAAGAGGTACGTGCTTTCTTCACCCGAAAAAAGAAAGGAAAAGGAAATCAAGCAACATGCAATTAGATAAGCTAACACATTATGTGTGGGTATATTCTTGTGGAGGGATCACAATGACTCCTCCAGCATCACCCTTCTGCCTCGTCCTTCTGCCTCGTCCTTCTGCCTCGTCCACTCAGGCAACAAAAGAAAAATCCTTCTTCAATTTCAGAATAAAGAACAATGTTATAATGATTGCTTGATTGCAGTTAATGTCTTTTGCAGGGGAGCATCGACAACAACAACAACAACAACAACAACAACAACAACAACAACGTACCTGTCGAGACCGAGCATTTCCTCTGTTGCCCCAAGCTCTTGACAAAATATCTGGCGTCCAGTCCGTCTCAAGGTCGCCGTACCGATCTATAATCACAGTCCACAGCCTCTCTTCTTCTTTTACCTGTGGACGGGGGAAAAAAAAAAAAAGGCAATTCATCATTTGAAAATTGAAATTTGAAAGATTAGGGAAGAATTTGGAAGTAGATTCCTCAGTTGAATCTTTTCCTCTTTTTTTTTTTTTTTTTTTTTTTTGGATCAGATGTTAAACTTGAGAACGGTTTCCACCACAACTTTCCAGCATTTGTTTTTCTTGTTTTCTGTCGTTTGCTAGTTTGCTTGAGATTTGTGCTGCTGCTTGGGCCCGCGTCAGATAGCTTTTTTGGAACCACTCCCGAGTTTCAACAGTCCTGACCTGCAAAGCACCCACCCTCCTCGCCGATGTATACAGCGATCTTTGAGGAAGCTAGGGAGAAATTAGTCATATGGTGACAATGGGAACTCAAGGGTCTGCAAATCAGCGCCAGGATGATTGAATTCGAACCGAATGAACCAATGTCAAAATACTTCTTTGTCAGAATAAAAGCAGTCAATAGAGAGAGAGGTAACTCATTTGAAGGATTAAAGCACCAGTACATGCCAGCTATCGGCCACAGGCCCCTTTCGGAGGCCGCAGGCCGCCGATTCATTTTATCTACAGCACTCGGCCTCCTAAACGTTCTGAGAGGCTCAAAACAGGTTCTCCATTTGCCTGGGGCCATGCACTGGCGATTTAAGAGAAGCGACAGACCAACAAGCAGTTCACACGGCTAGTGTAGGGATGCTAGACGTGACAAAAGGCTTCTATAAAGCTCTATATCAATCCAAGACACCAGCCAATACCACCTATGATGTGCGCCAGTCCAGATCCAAGATGTTACAGGACTTGGAGAAGACTATCTCTAAAGAACAAGCAGATAACTTGGATAGGCCTTTATCTATGTAGAAGAACTACACTTTGCAGTTAAGAGCTTGAACAGCAACAAGACCCCAGGAATATATGGACTGACAAAAGAATTCTGGGAAAAGTTATGGCCACTACTAGGGACAGACCTCATGCACTTCTACAATGACAGCTGGGACAAAGAAGGGTTGGGATGGGAGAGCTACTCAGTACCAGCGTAGTCACCCTACTTTACAAGAAGCAAGAGAGGGAGGACATCAAAAACTCCAGACCAATCTCTCTACTCACTCTCCCTTATAAAATCCTAGCGAAGGCATTAGCCTTCCACATACTGGACTTAACGGACAGGTGCCTCCATATAGACCACTCGGGACTCATTCCAGGACGATACTTGATAATTTTATGACTCTAAACGAAGCCTCCAAGAAGGTTGTAGAAAAGAAAATAAGCACGGCCATTCTCTTCTTCGATTTTGAGAATGCCTTGTACGTTGGTGGAAAGGAACGTCGTCAACAAATTCAACACAATCTCATCAATCAGAGGCATTTCAATTTTGGTAGGGCTTTATTTCTGAATACCTCGTTTTTTTTAGTGGCCTGGTATCCGGGAGCCCTTTGGAGACGAAAACCTACAAGAGGATAAGATCTTTGTCCATCGAGTATTTATGGAAAGGCACTAATGAGGAAGAGGCGGGCTATGTAGCCAAGGTTGCATGGAAAAAGTTATTGGGAGTAAAGAGGAGGGGGGGCTGGGGATTTTGGATCCAGAATCCCAGATTGATGCTCTCCTTGTGAGTGAACTGTTGGTAGGGTCACCCCCACCTGTGGGTGGAGTTGGCAATCTCTATACTGGTAAAGGCGTGGGGGTTATCGAGGAGGGAGGACGTGTGGGTAGCCCTGTTCATCCCCTCTGGTTTAGATGTCTATCAAATCCCCTATCTGGAGTGGGATACTGAGGGCCTGGAGTAGAATCCTCCTGTCCGGGTTGAAAACTCCGGAAACAAGGGAGGGAGTGCTTTCCCAGCTGATCTTCAAGGACCCTTACTTGACAAACTCAGGAGGTCTCCCTTGGTCAGCTAAACACAAGCCTGTGACGAACTACTTTCTGAAACGCGCGACTTTCTGCACGACTGTATTTCCGGAGGAGTTGAATGGGAGGGGCCCACCCGATTGCACAAATGCCCCCGCCTTTGTGAGAAAGATGGGTCCCATGGCGGTTGGTAGTTAGAGCGCGCCTTAGCAAGCGCAGAAATAACTGTTGTCATAGCTTCTTTCTTGTTCTGCTGAAAGTGGGGGAAGGGAACTTCGGCACGATCATCGCGCGGGAAAAATATTTTTGAATTTTGAAATACGGGGGAATATGGGAATTAGGACTTTAATTGGGTTAGGAATTGGGGGCATCGTAATTTTGTCGTGGATTTTTGCTGCTGTAACTGCACGATGCTCCTTACTCGCGTGCGCTTTGCTGCGTCCTGTCCTGCTCTCCGCTTCTGCCGCGCCTTAATTTATTTATTTATTTATTTATTTTAAAATAAGCAGAACCTTCGGGTTCTGGCTCCTAACATTCTGGGGAGCGACAGTCCGGTTCCTATTCCCCCGGCAAGTCAATATGAAATACATAGAAGACTCACGCACACTCCTCCCCATTATGGCTGAGAGGCCCGAGTGGGCGACATTGATTACTTCCTCGAGGAAGGATGTACCCCCTCTCACCCCTGCCTAATTTAGCCTATACTGGCTTGGCTGTCAATCTGATTGCCCTCGAAATTGCTCCTCTCAGCTATGACGCTATCAGGTCTCCATGAATATTAGCTCTATGGCTGCATTATCATTGTTCCTGCTCATAACCATAAAACCCTAAACCCTAGGTCTAGATGCTGTCCTGACTTGTCGGTGACTGAGGTTCCAGGCAGAAAAATAGTCCTCCTAAATCTGTCACAGTTTTCGCTCGAGAAAAACAGTCCGGATGCTTGTTTGTCGGACCTCCACCTTGGAACTGGCAAGAAATCCTTTGCTTAAAGATGTTTGTGCTAAGATTTCCTTGGCAAGCTCTGTCCATGGTCCAGCCCTATCCTTTCCTCCAAAATGTCCGCACTCGGTTCCCTCCTTTCCTGTCTTCGTTTCCTCTTTACGACTCTGACAATGGGGAGCCTTGTCCCTGTGTTGTACTCTGTTGCCCCTCTCTTCCCCTTGCATTCGAGATGTGCCAGTCCTTCCAACGTATGTTGTCGTCCCTCAGTTCAGCCACTTTGTCGTCGATCAACCAGATTTTACTGAAAATTCCATCTGGCTTTGTTTCGTTGTTCCTCATCTTCGGACCATGACTGTTTGATTTTCTGCCATCTGCACAGAATCTCCGCCTGAATCATTGTTTTCGTCTCCGCCCAGACCACTTCACTAGTATTGGATATTTCTTCGATCGTTCTGCTGCATCTCTCCTTCCATATGACCCAAAGGGTCACTTTCCTGATCATCCCGAACCAGACTTTTTCCACTTTCCGGAGTTGTTGGGGAATGTTAATAAGAAGAAGGACTTGGATGGGTTTTTCAGGAAAAGSGGCKGGTAGAAGGGAATTCCAGAGGGTCACAGCTTTTGCCCAAAACTTTTTCGCCTCCCTACAGTGAACTAAGCAATGTGTTATSWCTTCTGTTACGTTCTCTGTACACACCTTACATGTATCAGAGCTGTCTGGGTTGGAACCTTTCCGCCTGACATGTAACCATTGATTGACTGGCAGGGCTGCATATGTAAYTAGCCATTGGAAGCTTCTGAYTTTGATAGGTCTGATYGCTTTGTAGGTTTTCCACGGAATTCGCRTGAYGCTGTCGGCTTCCTGACCTAACAGTCTTTGCCACCTGGTTTTGATAACCGGTTCTGGGTCTTTTGTTTTTAACATTAATTTGTAACCTAGTTTGACYGTGTAGTCTTGTATGGGTGTGCGTTTATTAACATTTGCCTTCTTGTCTGGTTTCCATGTCCACTCCCCTGGGTCGAACTCCAAGTTACGCAGTGCCGTATCAGATCTGTAGATACTTTTCGGCCACGTTCCTAAAACTCTTACTTTCCTGAGCAGGAAGCCCTCCATGACTACGGTTTCTACATTGGTGTTTCTGATCGACGGCATTCCGTCTCTGGAGTGTGTAACTGGAAAAGAGGTGAACACAGCTTGTGTAGTCACACCTTGTTGTGAATGTGAGAACTGAAAGGCCCTTGACGGAGGGTTTTCCTGCACCTTGATCCCCCAGTCTCCACTTTTCCAGTCCCCTTCTTGTGCCAATATATCCTTCCAATCCTGAGGGATCAGATTGATGATGTATTGTCGTTTCAGACCTCTTCGGTGGCAACCCTTCAGACATCTTTCCAATTCCTGTTCCGTTACCCAATCCTTCTTTTCTTCGTTCCACAAGTGGTTAATCCTCCATATGCCATTCTTTACCCATGACAGCCATTTGTGGTCTAGAAACAAGGGTTCGTCACTTTCGGATCTCAGCCATTCATTACCAAAAAGAGGTTGTCTTAGTACCTCATCTTTTGATTTCGGCCGATTCGTCTTTTTCGGCATTATTTCCCTCCAAATCCGAATGATAGCCGTCCAATACGGGTTTTGCCTGTTGGCGGGGTCCTGTTCTATTCCTCTCCTGGATCTTCTTCTCCTGTTCTTCAATGACCATTCCTTGTTCATTACCCAGAATAATCCTGACATGTTGCTAGGTGATGGTACCGGGGCTAGCTCCCTAATACTGTCCAGGGCCAATTTGTTCCACGCCGTGCCTGGCTTCATCAGCAGCCGGATTATCCATTTGACTTGAAGGGCTCTTGTTTCACACAGGGTCAATTATGCCTAAACCCCCTTGTATGGGCTTTCTTGAGATGTAATGCCATGCTATTTTGGGGATACAGCTTCCCTTGTTCGGGTTGCCCGTCCAGAGGTATGTTCTTGCTACCAGATTTAGTTCCTTTAGAGAGTCGTCTGGGATTGTCCATATAGACGCAATGTACCACATCATGGAAAACACTGACGTGTTAAGCGTTAAAACCCGACCAAATAGTGAGGTAAAAGTATCGCCCCATCTTACCATCTTGATTAGCTGCTTTGACAGCACATTCTGGGCCATCTGGGGCGCCAGCCCGTCCCTTGTCAAGAGAATGTCAAGATATCGGGTAGGGGTTTCMGGAGTTTC